TTTCTGTCAACACAGAAAGTGTATAAAAATCAGCGTTTCTCATCATATCAAAGAGTATAAGTATATTTTCAACTAAATAATTTCTACAACACGAGTACGTGGTTTAAAATATAAAAAGACTTCACATAAATTCAGCTGCGATTCAACATTAACAAATAGAAATTGGCAACACTAGAAACTTTGAGAGTGAAAGAAGCTAAAATGTCGACTAAAAAGTACATTTGTTAGACAAAATTAACCTTTCAAACAATTTGTTGTTTCCTTGACTTTTTAAATATTGATTGTGCAACAAATTGCTTTAAAATATTACATTTTTACATGTATTCAATATTTGGTTAAAACAATTGATTACTGCGAATATAAAAATAGCTTATGAAAACATTTGGAATACATATCGTTCAAGAGTTCAGTCATTCGATATCCTCATTTAAATATTTATTCCCTAGTTATATATCTATCATTTACAAAACTGGTTTAAATTTGTCACATTAAAAATATATTTATTATAAAATAGTACATGTACCTCATTTGTTTTATATTTCGAAAAAAGTACAGCTTTATAAGCAAAGATGCATAATGGATGGCAGTGGAATCCAGGACGCGCGTTTCGTCCTATTTGGGACTCGCCAACTGGATGTGCTTGCATCTCTGAGTTGAGGTTCACTCTGGGACTCAAACGCTGTATCGTTCGCTTCAAACGCTATTTCGTTATCCATTTCGCCAGTGAAAAGATACGAGCAAACAATAACAAGTGAATCTAAACTTCACCCCATTGCACAATTAAGTGGCTATCAGGACTCAATAGCGAAGTAGATAACGTGATGGCGGTTGACGTGAATGTTACTGAGTCCGAGTCCATGAATGAACATCAACTCTGAGATGCAGGTACATCCAGCTGACGAGAACCAAATAGGACAAAATGCACGTCCTGGATTCAACTGCCAGCAACTATCGATCTTTGCTTATAAAGCTTGTGACTTCAGGCAGTGTCGAGGCATACGCACAATATGGACACATGCCAATAACAAACTGATCAATTGCTGTCCTAAATAACCATGTTGAGATACAAGCAGACAACACTAAGTGAATTTACAAGTATAGCTATTTTAACAACCTTCAAAATAATATTGAAAACATTAAATATTTGAATTTTTATAGCCAAATCATAAATACATGAATTGAACTATATCTTTCCTCCTTTTTGACCTAGATGATATACTATCAACAAGATCATATTTGTTCTGTTTTGGAATGAATACTTGTTTTTTCCTCTGTACTATTTGGCAGAGGTTATATATTCGTTTTCAGTAGTCAATAGATGTGTAGAATCTAGAATTTTCAAGCGTATTTTCGTTCATCTGGTGTTTTACTGTTTAATATCACTGTAATTTTCACTAGGAATTCAATTTCGAGCTTACATTTTAACTTCAATTGTATTTTTCATTCGGCCTGTTAGAATGCGCTACACTGAAGTGTTCACTGTAATTTCAGATGCTTGAGATGAAATATTCAATAAAATAATTATACCTTTATGCTCAGTGACAACCTATTTAATGGACGGAAAAATTGCCAAAAACTGCTAGAAATTGCACACTTATTAAATATTAAACAAGGGATGGATAATCTTATGTTACTAGTTAAATTTGTGTTGATTTGGTTTAGTTATTTGTTTTAGTATTTGTAGGAATGTCATATTGTGGCAAGAAACGTTAGGAATCCAATTTTCCATCTCACTGAGATATTACAAATATATAACACACCACTTAACTCACATAATTTCAACAAAATACTGATTAACTAAAGTGGCTAGCATGCAAATGGAGATGTAGTCACAATATCAATGGATCTGACTGATTATCTTTTATAACTTGAAAAGACTCGACATAATTGAAGTCAATGAAGCGAGACTATAATTTACGGACTAACCAGTCAGGTACAAGATAGCATGTCTTAGATTTTGGTGCGAAATTCACTCATCCATTTGGCTAAATAGCGTTTCAGCATTATAGCTGATGTCAGTTTGTGATGAAAAACTTAAATCTAATTCTCAACCTTAACCACCAATTGTAAATCATGATTCTAATTCCTCACATTGGTTTATAACCCTCATTTGGTCCTATTTATTACTAAACACTCTCGAAGTCACTTTAGCGTCGCTCATAGATCGTTCATAAATTATAGTCTCATCGACAATGAAAACGTTAGAATACGGTTTCATAAATATCAATACTCTTCTCATAATCACCATAAATGTTTAGAACATTAATACACAAAGCTTATTATTCATTATATAGTTAAAATTTAGAATGGAAACATTTTCATTCATTTAGATAATTTTCATTATGATATATAATTCATCCCAATCGTTTCAGGTTTAATGGTTCGTAATTATTCTCCAGTTGGTCAATTATTTATCATGAAAATTCTTTTCTAACCATTCACAAATATCTTTTTCTTCTACAAAGTATAACGAACAAATAAAAACTGAATTACATGAGAATGTTTATATTGTATTGAAGGTAATTTATCAAATCATGTGACTGGTTAAGGAAACCAAGTTTTTATTTTTTGAAAGAAATAGAACATTGATATATATTGATCAAGGCGTGATAAGATCAAATATTATTGTAAATAAACATTTTGATCTGATCTCTTTTCCGTTCTAAGAGTTTAGCAAGCAATATACATTTAAAACAATATAGTTTGAATTTTGAATTTATGATGCTTATTTTCCAAATAATCATAGAATAAATAATGTGCTACTGATATGTTTTAATTTCAAGAAGTAGTATGTGTAAATCGGAATAAAAAGATACAGTTGACTGGGATTATGAAATATACTGACTTTAGATATAAGATTTTGTAAGGCACAAGTCTTCAAGAAATAATTTGGTAAAGTTAGTTTTTAACTGAACCTATGTACTAAAGTTGTCAATATAAAATCAGCAGTTTAAACATAATATAGAAAGATGAAACAATCAGAATCTTTCGAAGCTACTTTCGAGTATTATGTATAGAATTCAAAAAAATAAATAAATAGATGCTTTGTATCATACACCACACGAACATTACAATAGGATCACTTTGTACAGAGTAAGGAAAGCTTAGAGTGATAAGGAAAACTTCATTTCGTAATCATAGACTGAAAACGATCACGTTAAACGTATAAAATGATGAATTTTATATAGACTTTAATAATATATAAATCAATATCACATGGGTTTTGTGGATATTAATTACAATTGCTAAGATCATGAGTCATGCGGTGGTGTTAATGTCTAACTTCAATTAATCCACGAAATTGAGCGACACATCTACCATTGTCTTCAGTGAGTTACTGACTCACAACAGACCTGGTTGAACTCCACTGGTCACTACTTCTCACTAGAACTCCAGGATATACCTCTTGAAGCCAGTCACTAGTGAGCATATGTTGATTAATATCAGATGGGTTTGGTGGATGTGTCGCTCAATTTCGTGGATTGGTTGAAGTTAGATATTAACACCGTTGGATGCCGGCTCAGTGGTCTAGTGGTTGAGTGCTCGTGCGCGAAACCAGTAGGTTCTGGGTTCGAACCTCGCAGGAGGCAAGGTTGTGGATGCGCACTGCTGAGGAGTCTTACAATAGGCCGAAACGGCCGTCCAGTGTTTTCAGGTTTTCTATGGTGGTCTAGCTTCAACTGACTCATGATCTTATACATTGAAATTAATATATGAATCAATTAGATTTTCCTTCCAATTTACTATGGTCATAGTAAACTCTTTAAATAAACTATTTTTACTATTCGTTCACTGAATAATAATAAGCTATTTGGTGAAGTGAACATGTTAAAATATATAAGAATGTCTATTTATGACTTCTGATTTTTTTAGACAACTTAAATATTGACCTTGTAAGCAGTGGATTCTTCCATTCGTTTATTTATAACTATAATAATCTGAAAAACTACATGTAGGCTGTGCTTTCACAACAAGAACAATGTGGTTAGACAATGATTTACAGAATATTAAGATGAAAATATTAATAGTTAACCTTGGAAAAATAATATACTTCCTAAAACTACTATACGCTAGCAGATTTCAATAGTTCTGATGCAAAACACTTGCTTTATCCAGCTTTTTTATTGATTGTCTGAAAGATAACTTTAGAATGAAAAAGGTATATTTTAAATCGATCGATGGTGTGCTATACTTTCAATTCGGCGGTAATATACATTTCTCCTGAACTAAATTTAATAATCACGAGGCTTCATGTTTTTCACACTTTTAATTAATAAACATCTTCAAGCTGAAATTCATTGATATGTTCTCAGAGGTTAGATTTATCTAATCTAATTAAAATATGTCTCTAAGTGACACTTCAGTACTGAACGTCCAAATAGTTTAACCTTACACCTTACAATCATTCGGTTTAATGTTTAAGAAGTGGTTGTATAAAATCACATTTCTTAGTGACTATGTTTATTAACCAAATAACATATTATGAACATAAGTTTATTGAAGTATTTTTCATTCATTCACTGACAGAAAAATAAATTCATATTGTGGGAAAAAACAACATATTGAGCGTTATCAACTGGCCATTATTACTGTTGTGGTTATTTATATTTGGTTAACAAGATAATCAGACTTTCATTCTTTGATATTATTTTGTGCAGAAAAATGAAGCATATCTGAACACATCAGATACCAGAAATAAAACTCAAATTTTTCTGGTGAGACATAACAGAATCTTTTTTTTCTTTTACAAAACCTACTAAATAAATTCTTAAGGTGTTTTCCGGATTATTGCTTCTTATACTGATATATATAGATAGTTACAAAAAAATATGGCAACATTTGAAAGAAAATCAATGAGTACCTCACATGTAACCGTTTTATAGAAAAAATGATGTTAACTTTCCTGATAGTTTTTATAAACGAAATATTTCAAAGGAAAATATATACAATTAAACATTGTCTATATTCTCTTTTATTCATATAAATACATACACAAACAGATCCATTGTTATCTACAAAAAGTTTTTCATTGGATGTACCACGTTTTGATCAACCAAATGATTCTAATTTAACTGGTTCGGGAGGTTCAAGTCCAGGGCGTTATTCTGAAGGATTTCGAAAATCTTCAATTGTAAAACATCATCAATATCTACCATCTAGAGTTTCACCATCATCTTTCTCTCAAAGAATGAATGGTAAGTTTTTAAAATTTACCATAAATCAAACATATTTGTTTTAAAGGAATAAGCTTGTGTTTTATACTTTAAAATTGTTTTTTTAAACATTTTATTGTCATCAGATAGTTGGGAAAGGGAACTTTTGTTAGTTTTGCTGATTTATGCATTCAATGAACAGTAATACAGAAGTATTATGGTTTTCAGATGGTAGAGAAGATTTGTAGCTCAGGTGAATACTTTTGCTAGTGTATTATTCTCTTAGCAAAACCGTTTAAATTCTAAGATTGTGATGGTGGTCTGCATAATAGCATCACTGTCTATTGCAAAAATGAACCTATAACAAAGACATTTTTGACGTGTTAAAAAAAGTCACTGACAAGTGAACTGAGCCGTGTTGGTAGGTGTAGACTACTTGGTTGGGGACCGCGAGATGATAGCAACCGATGGTTAGAGACCCTGAGTGACATGGCTCGAAATCGTTTGCAACGGCGCAGGTGCACCCATTCTTTGTGTTCTCCCAAATTCTAATTTTCTGAATTTGTCATGTCCCCTTTTTCTCTTTTCAAATTTATTTCACTGGATTGTACTCTTTAAATAACATCTCCAAACCCTAATCTTTCCGATTACTGCTTACACTCTTACCGCCTCTACCACTACGGGATTTGAATCGGCAACTGCATCTCTGTGCTAATGTGGTATGGCAACTCGAACTGATGTACGTACGTACGACGTTCTACGTTGTTAGTGACTGACTGACTAATAACAAAGAAATATGAAACATTTAATAGTCAGTAATTAAAATTAGATCGAAAATATTCCAACATACCAAGATTTAACAAACTGATACTTCAGTGTGACTATTCTTTATGCAGATAAAGTTTATCCAACTGCGCTATGAATAACAATCCGATTAGATAATGTCTATCCAAAAAGAAATGGTAGACATGATTATTGTTCTACTTCTTTTTAATGACAATAAATATCATTAACCTTAAACCTCAGTTTCAACAAATTTATGTGTCTAGAAAATCTAGATTTTGATAGATTATTTCATCACTAATCTGATATAATTCCTATTCAGTTTGTATATTTAGTGAAAACTACATTTTGAAAAATGAGTAGATAAAACATGTAATTCTACTACAAAAGTTAAGTAAATGTTTTTTCTCTGATTATTCAAACAATAATAGCTGACAATGTATAGGAAAATGGTCTTAACTACAGTGTGAAATCTGTTGTTACGCAATATTTATGGTCATGGCTCGTGTAGATAGTCATCAAAAAAAGCAATTTATTTAAAAGTATTTAAGAACCAAGGGTTAAATATGAAATTGATCTACTCCGTTTATAATAAAATCGATTAAAAGCGCTAATTATGTTAACAGTCAGTGAAATAATCACAGAATTCGTAATCGCAAATAGTCAGATTGTTAATCCAAAATGATATAATAATCCATTCGAATCGAAAAGAAAGCTTGTAGCAACTAAAATAAATGTGCGAAAATAATTTATTTTCCAAAATAATTAACATTTACTGAATGATATATAAGAGGTACTAATTGGAAAACACATATGATCAAATCACAATGAAAGATGGGTTAGATATTTGTTAACTGATTTAATGGTGTGTTGACCAGTTATCCGATTCTGATACTGGTTGTCACACTTCGTATGCTCCAGACCAACCAGCAACATGAGTGAGAAAACAAAAGATAAATAGAAAGTATTATTAGAAATCTCCCAACGAAATAAGCCCATAACTCATAAATATAGAAATAAGTCCGTCTGATAATCAAGGCGAACCTCGACTAATAGCATACATTCATCAACAAATCTAACTCTGAATAAATACGTCTACTCAGCTCCATCTATCATTCAAATATTTTAAAAAGCTTTGCAGTGAAAAATTGTTTTATATCTTTAGTCGAATATCCAATATAATGACGAAACTGTTCCTTGAAAAAACAATACGCTGAAACAAACAGATATCAAATATTTGAAATGTTTTTGAACTCAAAAATATACTAGTGATGTATAGTTTTCAAACCATGTGTTAATGCTGTTCAAACCGATTATTTAACTTTGATAATATTGAATGGCGGCATGATTTATAGAGTTGGATTAATTCCCAAAAATTTCCACTTAACTCAAACTGAAGAATATCTCAGTTTGGTACATTTTGGGTTTTGAAACAAGCATAATCACTATCATAAATATTGACAAATTAAAATAATTGGCAAGTGATTTGTTAGAAATATTTGGTGTTAGAAATACACACAATAATTTCCATGGATTTTATTCATATCTAAAATATTTAAATAACCAGTATAGTACAAAGTACTTGTAGAAATACATACTATGAATGTATATTTCCGGTTTAACATTGATCTATAAATAATGGAAAATATTTATTACGTATTTCTGACTGAAAACAAACAAAAGACTTCGCTTTTGTTTCCAATTCAACAAAAATCCCAGAAACCAATGTATTTTTTATCTAATTTGTCTAGAATGAAAAGGACTTCAGGAATTATAGAATATTCCATCTGACTTGGGGATCAAAATTCAAACATTTATGTTAATTTTTAACTTTAATTTGTTACTGATTTAAAAGTAATAATCACTGGCGAAGTATACGTTCCTCAGAGTAAAACGTCAATCAAAAAACTATTTAATCAGAAGGCACTAGACAGTAAGATGTATGTAGGAGGAAATAAAGCGTGTATTCATAGCTTCGTCTTACTTCTAGCCATCTAAAATCTAGCAAATGATTGACCATTGTCATAGGTTACTTAATTAAGTAATTTGATGGTATACCAGTTGATAGCGTGCAGACAGCATTAGTGAATAGACATGATATTGATTATTTTTTTCACAACTTAATAAGTATCTCAAATTAGTAGAATTCAAAGACGATAAGAGTGTCTTTTTATTTATTTAATGTACCTAATGTGTATATACAACAAATGAAAAACTTGGAAGCGTTATTACTGCAATTGATGCTGACCAATTGTTAGATTTGGTTAATAAGTCAAATTATATAATAATGATTGTAAGCAATGTTAATTCATATTTCTAACTAAATGTAATAAAACAAATTTCATCCCATTTGAATAATTACTTATTCAACCGTTGAATATGTTCATGGATAAAGAAATATAGATAAAAGTGTCGGACAAAAAATATATTCAGGCGGTATATATTTTTTTACAGTATACATTTCAATATGAACAATTATATTAATTCTGCTATCGTCAACAATTGATTATCTGTTCATATTGGTATAGAATTTGATTGTTCTGTAAATAGTGCTGCTTTTATTAAAATAACAGACTGAAACAATCCACAAATAAATATTGAAGTATTAAATTGTAACACTTCCCTATGTAGTGTGAAATACTGTTCTAATTATAATCTAACTATTGTATTCTATAAAAGAACATTGAAAGAATATTCTTTAGAACAAATCATAGAAACATAGAAGGAATATTTAAAGTTAGGGAAAAAAAAGATGATCAGATCAATCAAAGAAGAAAATAGAAAAAAAATATTTAACTTAATTTTTAATTTGATTGTTACAACATTTAAGTGTATTATCCGTTTCCCATTTCGGTTTATATGTTCCACTTTTGAAATGAAATCGAAAACCTCTTTCACGCTTCTGTTGACGACTAGATCTCCTACACAAACTAGTCGTCAACAGAAGCGTGAAAAATGTCTTCAATTTCAGAGTACTGTTGATATGGATCATGATAAATGAAAAATAAATATATATGAATATCAGCAAAGATGGCTGGCGGTGGAATCCAGGATACGCGTTTCGTTCTATTTGGAACTTGTCAGCTGGATGTGCCTGCATTTTAAAGTTGATGTTCATTCTGAGACTCGAACGCAATATCGTTCGCTTCAAACAGCAAAGCGTTATCCAACTTTGTTTATAATGCTTGTAAATTAAGGCAACATCGAGGCGATACTCACACTATGTACATATGCCATTAAGAAACTGATCATTTGCTGTCCTAAACATCAATAGGAAAATTCAAGTAAACAATACCAAGTGAAATTATACATGAATATATTTTTTATACTCATGGTTTCCTTTATTCTCTTAAAGAGAACAAAAACGAGATTGGGGCAGAATAATATGAACACATTTTATTTCGTTAGGTTCTTACAACCTATAATATTTTTTAAAATCAAAGTTATTACAGATATTGACATACTTATAAAAACGAATTTGCCAGCATCCTGACATCCTACCTCTACCAGCATCAGAACTCAAACGACAGTAAACGATATGTCCAAAAGTTTTTCAATTGAAAGTTCAATAATGTCATATACCAATGAACTGATGTTGTAGCAATAGGAAGTCCGATAGATTCTACCCTAGCAGTTAGTTTCATGGTTAATCTGAAGACAACCAAGATCAAAAGAGCGTTTGGAGAAATGGTATATTATTCGAAGTTCGTTGACTACCCCACTATCGTATGTAATAATCAGCAACATGCAACAAATTTGCTGAAACTCTAAAGTGAAGCCCATAAAAATAATCAGTTTATAATGGAAGGTCAAAATGAGAATAAATTCCATTTTATCGACATCGCAATAAAGTGAAGGGAGGTTGGCGTGGTCCAACGTTCAGTTTCTTTTGAGGAAGATACATGGAATGGGATTTGTCTCGATTTCAATAGCTTTTGGTTACTCAGTTACATAGACACTTGTTAAAACACCATTACACAGAACAGAAAGAATATATACACCCGATACACTAAAAGAGGTGCTAATGAATATCAAAAGGTGTTTAATGAACAACGGATATCCATTAAAATTTATTGAGAAATGTGCAAAATGTGAAAATAAAAAACCCAAAGAAATTACATTAAACAAAAAACCTATTTTTATCCAACTGAAATTTAAAAGTGATTGTGTTACAGGGTCAATGAACATGAGACGAAGAACTGCATTGACAAGAACTTATCCTTGAGCTAAAATGATTGTTATGTCCACAGTGACATGTT